GGCAGCCTTTTAATCAAAGTGTCATAAAACAGTGTGCCATACTTATGAGTATTCACAGATCAAATATGAAAAAGATCGCTCAATTACTTTTCAAGTTACAGCAAAAATCGTAAAATAACGTCTAAAGGCCCGCATTTTCGAGTTTTATTGTTTACAGTTAAGGTGTCGGTGTAGTTATCAGCAAATACCAAACAAACATTCCGAAAGGCTAACTTTTAACTTTTTTCAGTCACATTTTCAGAGGGCTGAAAAATCTATTTCAGCATGGTAAGGGTCATTTTGTCCATGCCCATTGTCTACCTACGCACTACAAACTGGCCAAAAATTGATGGATAAAGGTATGTGTTTGAGCATTTCGGAAAAAGATACCTCCCCGTCGGGGAATCGAACCCCGGTCTCCCGCGTGACAGGCGGGGATACTCACCACTATACTAACGAGGACTTGGCTGTGCGGCAGCCGTTACACTTGAATAACGAACTGGTTCAACCAACATATAACATAACAAGTAAATCAATCAAAAACGTAAAACAACACACGTAAAATCGGCGGCTATTTTTACCATGGCAGCCTTTTAATCAAAGTGTCATAAAACAGTGTGCCATACTTATGAGTATTCACAGATCAAATATGAAAAAGATCGCTCAATTACTTTTCAAGTTACAGCAAAAATCGTAAAATAACGTCTAAAGGCCCGCATTTTCAAGTTTTATTGTTTAGGTTAAGGTGTCGGTGTAGTTATCAGAAAATACCAAACAAACATTCCAAAAGGCTAACTTTTAACTTTTTTCAGTCACATTTTCAGAGGGCTGAAAAATCTATTTCAGCATGGTAAGGGTCATTTTGTCCATGCCCATTGTGTACCTACGCACTACAAGCTGGCCAAAAATTGATGGATAAAGGTATGTGTTTGAGCATTTCGAAAAAAGAAACCTCGCCGTCGGGGAATCGAACATTTTTCAAGCTTTATTTTTAAAGTTTAGTTATTTTTTACAGTTAAGTTGTCAATGTAGTTATCAGAAATTTATACCAAACAAACATTCCGAAACACTAACTTTTAACGCTAACTTTTAAACTAACGTCTAAAGGCCGGCATTATTCAAGCTTTATTTTATACAGTTAAGGTGTCGGTTTAGTTATCAGAAAGGAACAGGTGCGATTATTGGCAAATATCCCTATGGTCAAAATGAATCATTCTTAGGTGTAACATGAGGAATAAAATGTCATATAATACTTTGGAAAATATTAAAGTGCTCGGGCACACATAAGCTGAGATGGGGATCATTTCGTTCAGTAAGGTTGTATTGACTTACATGGGGCTGTGCACCATTGACTTAACATGAAGATATCAGCAGATCCCAATAGAGGCCATTGGTTTCCATTGATTATCACAGAAATACCAAAAATACACTATGACCTGAATTGATTGCAAACTTAATAATTTCACAATATGACACAAATGGTTTATCTCATCAAATGTGCAAATATGAAGTTTGCAATCGATTCAGGTCATACTTAAAATTAAAAGATTGTACATTTTTCATCATTTTTTCCCCTACAAAATGGCTATAGAAAAATGCTCCAAAAACAACTTTTACACTTATCAAATATCATACAAGTTTGTAAAACCAAAGATTATACTGTTATATTTCATTATGTAGTAACATATTTGGATAAGATGCAGGGAGGCGTAGGATGCAAATGGATTTTGACAGACACAAAAATACTTCCTGGTTTGGAATCTATGCCTCTACACTTCATAATTGAATTATGACCCTAATAAGTGGCCTATACATCAATACAGTGCTGAATATAGGTCAACAAGATACTAGTGTGCATATAAATGTCATAATTGAAGCAGAATACTCATTTTGAAAAATCAGATGAATTATTTTTTTCCCATGGAGAGATCCCAATGGAGGGTGTATAAGGTCCTTTGCACCGAAACGCTAACTTTTAACTTTTTTCAGTCGAGCTTTAACTTTTTTACAGTTAAGGTGTCGGGGTAGATATCAGAAATTTACACCAAACAAACTTTCCGAAACGCTAACTTTTAACTTTTCTTCAGTTACATTTTTAGAGGGCTTAAAAAGCTATTTCAGCAGGATAGGGGTCATTTTGTCCATGCCCATTGTGATCCTGGCCCTTATGCAGTTGCGTACAAGACGGGGAGGAAAAGGCGACGAGGCAAAAATATTTCATAACCAAACCACTCTCTGTCACATTGTCGCAATGCAAAACGCATGTACACCATACGTACAACCGGGCATACACCAAGGCAACACAAATTTCCCTCATTGTAATACTTCAACCCAACGCATGTAATGTACTATTTCGGACTGAAATGAAGTCATCTTTTGAACAAATTATTTATAAAACAACTCTTCAGTTCTACAGAAAGGGGCAGTTTTAGTAGAACAATATCAAACAGGCAAATATTACATCAACAATTTGTTACAACGCTGGGCGACAGACGCCGAACATCGTCCACTTTTCTAAGTAAGAGACAATAACAATATAGGCTACAGTAACACGATATCACCCTGGTGGCATAAATGTAGCAATCAACTAAATAGATAAAAGTCAGTCTTTTTCATATCTATCGGTTGTATCAGTCAAGAATATACTTGTTTTTCCTCCCAAGGAAAAATCTATTGTTTTAACAGTGTTTTACAGATTTCATATCGCAAACAAACATTATCGTCCTGTAATATACTAACAACGTTTTCATTAAATAAACTGGACATACAATATACGAATTATATACTATTCTAGTATCAATCCTGTCAGTACACGATGGAATCAGACTATATTACTTGTGTCTATTTTCGTAATGCAAAAAGATCAGAGATTTAAATGCTATAATTGTAATTTTTGTAATTTGGAGCATGTTTGACCAAAGTAAAATTGGTTTTCTGAGTACGTTTGAGATAAAAAAAAAATATATATATAATTTCAATTGAAAAAAATTTAAAACGAATATCAAAGATCGGCGTTTCAGCGCAGTGCACATTGATTACTTTTAAGTTTTACACTTTACGCTGGAAGTTATAAGAATGACTTTTTTTTACCACCAGCGTAAACTTGAATTTCGAATAATTATATTTGCTTGAGTAGGCTAGTGTTTAAAGACCTTCCTAGGTCGTTATATCTGGGCGAAAATAAAAAAGAAATACCCTTAATAATAAGATATACATGATCTACTTGCCACAGTGAGTCTTATATCATAGTATCAATCAAAAATCTGAAAATGGCGCCGTTTATAACTTAGTTCAAAAAACGAAGTCTAACAATTTGATGCGATATATATAACAGGATTTTATTAGTACTGATGCCCTTTTAGGGCCAAACGTACATCCGATATGCAATTTTCAATAACAGTAAATATAGCAATAAAGTAAAGAAAATAGGATAACATTCTTCAAATGACATATAAAATGTTACTTTGATATAAGAATCCTGTCTCCAACAATCATCAGATAATTTATCATGTTAGCAGATTCTTTTAATTTTATCCCCTCACTCGTCAAATAAAAAAAATTGTCTTTTGGTGGTCATTCATGTTTATCGATATGCGAACTGTATAAAATCGCACGCAAGTGTCTTGAGAGTAGGCTACTTTTAAGTACTATATAAACAGTACATGAAATAATATTTAGATAAAATCAACAGAACACAAGTTCAAAATGGCGACTAGAAAATGAGATTGCCACCCCAAAGTTAATCAGCTCTATAACTTGATATCCTCTATCATGTGTGCGAGTATGGGGAAAATCCGATAAGCAGTTTTCCTAAAACTGCGATGATAAAAAAGCATGGGCTTGATGACCTAGAAAGCAATTTGAAGTAAAGTAGTTTTCCTGGAATCGCAATGACAAGATTTATCTAATAAAAAACTTCAAGATGGCAACCAAAAAGTTAATCAGCTCTAAGAATTCTTACCATGTAACATGTGTGAACATTCAAAGTAAATCCGTAAAGTGGTTTTCCTGGAATCGCGTTGACAAAATTTCTCCAAAAACTTTCAAAATGGCCGCCAGAATGCAAGATGGCCACTAAAATGTTAATCAGTGGTTTTCCTGGAATCGCGATGACAAGATTTATCTAAAAACTTCAAAGATGGCCACCAGAATGCAAGATGACTGCCGAAAAGTTAATCAGCTCTAGAAGTCCTTACCATGTAACATGTGTGAAAATTTGAAGTAAATCCATCCAGTGGTTTTCCTGGAATCATGATGACAAGAAAGTGAGACGCTCTCGAATATGATAATTGATAACTTATACCATAATATCAAATGTACAAATAACAATAGCGTTAACTATGTAATTATGTCACTCATAAACGATGTCATGTCGAAAAGATGATAATCGATGACTTTTACCATAATATTATATCCTCAAATAACAATAGTGTCAACTGTGTAATAATGTCACTCATAAACGATGTCATGTCGAAAAGATGATAATCGATGACTTTTACCGTAATATCATATCCTCAAATAACAACAGTGTCAACTGTGTAATGTCACTCATAAACGATGTCATCTCGAGAATATGATAATTGATGACTTTACCATAATATTATATCCTCAAATAACAATAGTGTCAACTGTGTAATAATGTCACTCATAAACGATGTCATCTCGAGAATATGATAATTGATGACTTTACCATAATATTATATCCTCAAATAACAATAGTGTCAACTGTGTAATGTCACTCATAAACGATGTCATCTCGAGAATATGATAATTGATGACTTTACCATAATATTATATCCTCAAATAACAATAGTGTCAACTGGTAATCGTGTCACTCATGAATGATGTCACTCCTGGATGATGTCAGCTGCAAGAATGTTTCAACAGTACATGTATGTAGATATAGCAGCATCTCCGACCACATATCAAAGAGTTTAAATATATCATAGCTATTGCGAAATGAGAAGGTGCATAGAACTAAGGATTATGTCACGTCTACTGCCTGTCACCTCTACTGCCTGTCACGTGTGTAGTGGTCTAGTTTTGAAATAGTTAGGAGCTGCTTCAAATATCCAATCTGGGTCCACCACACAAACATTTCTGCAAACAAATTAAATAGCACTTTAAATATATGACATGGGATATATATAAGCCATAGGATAATGGAAATAAGGTGAATTCCCTATGAATTAGTAAGATGGATATACCATAGCTGAAATTCAATGAAAAACATATGTAGATCATGAAATGCACTACTTCCAACATTCAATGCCACGATACAAGCTTGGTCCATTTCAAAGCAAAAAGATTTAAAGTTCACATTTCATCATTCCACACATTTTTCATGATCTAGCACTAATATTCACAAGGAAGTGGACATAGGGACATAGACACATAGTGACTCATATGTTGGAGAGACTGGCGTGATTAAGATCCAAAGAAGATATAAATACCTCATATAGCAGGCTGAGGTCTTAACAAGTTCATTGTATATCACATATGAGGGTTTACATCTGAATATAGCAGATGATGGATGGATGGCAACTGGCTGTCTGCTGGCCACCTACATATAATTAGAAAATAATTAGATTATAATTACTATATTATTATATGAACATTACATGATAGATTTTTTAAAGTATACATAAAAATAATTTCTGAAACTTCTGCATCAAAAGAGGCAAAGTCTTGCAAGTTGCTGTTCCTGGACATAATTTGGTTCTTTCATTACAGATTGGTGTTCCTAAACATGATTTAGTTCTTTCATTACAGATTGGTGTTCCTAAACAATATTTGGTTCTTTCATTTCAGATTGGTGTTCCTAAACAATAGTTGGTTCTTTTATTACAGATTGGTGTTCCTGAACAATATTTGGTTCTTTCATTGCATATTGGTGTTCCTAAACAATATTTGGTTCTTTCATTACAGATTTACGTTCCTAAATAATATTTGGTTCTTTCATTACAGATTGGTCAACTAACATTGTCACAACGTTCACTGATAGCACAACTTAGGGAGTGGCATCCTACCACTAGTAATAGAGACTGGGAGATACTCACAACCAGGAAAAAACACCAATACAAGACAGACTGTGCCAATTTGTTTGCAATTTAAATAAAGTTGAAGATGAGAAACATTTAATATTTGAATGTAATGCCTATAAAATAGAGAGACTCTCATTTTTAACACCAAATATTGATTCATTTATAAATATACTTAAAACCAAGAGTATTGCAAACTATTTGAACTGTATTTTTAATATAAGAAAGAATCAAATATATAGGATTTATAATTAAATGTTTCATGTGTCTCATAAGCCCAGTTTGGGCTGGCTATTTTGTACAATAGGTGACACTTTAATAAAAAATAAAATAAAAAAATACATATTGGTGTTCCTAAACAATATTTAGTTCTTTCATTTCAGATTGGTGTTCCTAAACAATATTTGGTTCTTTCATTACAGATTGGTGTTCCTGAACAATATTTGGTTTTTTCATTACAGATTGGTGTTCCTGAACAATATTTGGTTCTTTCATTTCAGATTGGTGTTCCTAAACAATATTTGGTTCTTTCATTACAGATTGGTGTTCCTGAACAATATTTGGTTCTTTCATTACAGATTGGTGTTCCTGAACAATATTTTGTTCTTTCATTACAGATTGGTGTTCCTAAACAATTTGGTTCTTTCTTTACACATTGGTGTTCCTGAAAATTATTTGGTTCTTTCATTACAGATTGGTGTTCCTGGACATTATTTGGTTCTTTCATTACAGATTGGTGTTCCTGAACAATATTTGTTTTTTCATTACAGATTGGTGTCCCTGAACAATATTTGGTTCTTTCATTACAGATTGGTGTTCCTGAACAATATTTGGTTCTTTCATTACAGATTGGTGTTCTTATCATTATTTGGTTCTTTCATAACAGATTGTTGTTCCTAAACATTATTTAGTTCATTCATTACAGATTGGTGTTCCATCAAACAGTGTTTACTGTTATAAGATCAATTTTAAGATCACTAGAGAGATTTCGCTCATAAATGAAAGCACAACTCATGTTTTTATGTATAGCTATACTTTATAAGTAAGTGAATTGAAATTTGGTGTTTCACAAAAAGATGTTATAATAAGTACAGAAATGTGTATTTCATCTCTCAATTCTAATGTTCTTGTCACCAAAAAAGAGTGTTTTTTCCTCCAAATTCCTTGTTTATAAGGGGAATTGGATAGTAATATGACTTAATAACAAGTATCACTATGATTGCACAAAGTCTAATCAAGATAAGTATTTCCTCACTTATAAACAACCTTTTATAAGCGAAGGTTCCTCATAAGTTGATAGTGATGCGTAATAAATGATGACGTATTACACACACTTTTATAAGTTATAAACATAAGGGATTTACAAACACTCTACATGTATAAGTATGTTGCGAAATCTATTGTGTACTCAGTAGCATTTAACTTACAGAAATATATTTGCCATCCTTCTGTAGCTCTGCAGCATTCATAAAGAAACCATGAGCCAAGCATTCTCTAATTACAGCAGTTTCCCTTCCACAGGACTTGAACTGCATGTCCTGTTTCATACATATATCACGTAACTGACCCCTGATATCACACGCTGTTTTCATATTTCTCGCATTGATAAAGTTTTCATGACACCAATTCTGAAAGTATACAAACTAATGATTAAATCTTCATCTAAAGTAGCTATGAACCCTTTATAACTTCTATACATATTGAAATAGGTGAGATGGTCCCTTACCTCAGTTCCATTGGCTCCTTTATAACTGCTATATATATTGAAATAGGTGAGATGGCCCCTTACCTTACTCATACTGACTCCTTTATAACTTCTATACACAATGAAATAGGTGAGATAGTCCCTTACCTCAGTTCAATTGGCTCCTTCATAACTTCTATATATATTGAAATGGGTGACATGGCCACTTACCTTACTCCCACTGACTCCTTTATAACTTCTATTCACATTGAAATAGGTGAGATGGTCCCTTACCTCAGTTCCATTGGCTAATTTATAACTTCTATATATATTGAAATAGGTGAGATGGTTGAGATGGTCCCTTACCTCAGTTCCATTGGCTCCTTTATAACTTCTATATATTGAAATAGATGAGGAGGTCCCTTATCTCACTTCTCACCTCAGTTCAATTTGCTCCTTTATAACTTCTATATATATTGAAATAGGTGAGATGGCCCCTTACCTTACTCCCACTGACTCCTTTATAACTTCTATATGCATTGAGGTAGATGAGATGGCCCCTTACTTACTCCCACTGACTCCTTTATAACTTCTATATGCATTAAGGTAGATGAGATGGCCCCTTACCTTACTCCCATTGACTTTTTTATAACTTCTATATATATATTGAAATAGGTGAGATGGCCCCTTACCTTACTCCAACTGACTCCTTTATAACTTCTATATATATTGAAATAGGTGAGATGGCCCCTTACCTTACTCCCACTGACTCCTTTATAACCTCTATATATATTGAAATAGGTGAGATGGCCCCTTACCTTACTCCCACTGACTCCTTTATAACTTCTATATATATTGAAATAGGTGAGATGGCTCCTTACGTTACTCCCACTGACTCCTTTATAACTTCTATATATATTGAAATAGGTGAGATGGCCCCATACCTTACTCCCACTGACTCCTTTATAACTTCTATATACATTGAGGTAGGTGAGATGGTCCCCTTCATGTGAGATGAACTTTGCCTGTACAGCAGAGGCCTCCTCGCGTTTACTGGCAGGACTGTGCATGATTGACTCAACTGATAACATAGAGACGATGGTCAATATTTCCTCACTGAAATATAAACAAAGTTTAACTTACCAAATATTGTTATCTTATACAATGCTTTAATATCTTTTAAACTGAAACTTAAGAGACTGATCTTTTTACAAATCAATACAAAATTGTTAGTTTTACAGTATTTTAGACTGACATCATTCCAAATGTCATCACATGTTCTAAAAAGTCCATCCTCCGATCACAGGGCTTCAAAATCCAGAATATATTCTTTCTTTTTACCCCCTGCGATAAGCAGTAAACATTTCCCCGATTAAGAACTCGCAATCTGATTGGCTGTCGCAATACTGTGACAGAAATCATGTATAAATCATTCAGATAAATAGATCACGTGATTCAGTTTAATCGGGCACTTCCAAATTGGTTATAGCAGGGGGAAGAAGGAGGTACGGATTCTGGATACCTGCTTAGGAGGATGTAAAAAGTCCAAAATGTAATTCTTTGAACTAAACTTAATTTTAAGAAAATACATTGATTTTAGCTAGCATGAAGATAAGAAATATGATCTGGATTCTAGGCATTTGACAATATACAGATGTATATAATTGTAGTGTAATTCTGAAAAGTGGACATTCTGTTTTTGCAAATCTTTCATTACTTCCATATTTGTACAGATATCTCAAATCTTTATAAACGTATTTCTTACAGGCAGTCAAAATCAACTGCTTTCAGGATGACCTTTGCAAGACTAGGGTCAAGTGGAAATGCTGCCATCTTTCTTCCAAGAGGAGTAAGCTAAAATAGAAAATTAAACAATTTTTATCCCTACTTAGGTAACAACACAGTAGAATGAGCTGTATTGTATTTTTAAAAATGTGCATAACATAACATTGCACTTGGCAAACTATCAACAAGGCAATATCAAAGCAAAATATAAAAACCTGCCATTTGTTACTCGCACCCAACTCCAAAAACCAAGCTTATTTAGACTATGATAATTAGACGCCTTCATTAAGACATGGTATATTATAATGGGAAAATGATCAGTAGTCAAACTTCATATTGGATAATAATTGACTTCGTCCAATGAATTTCATAAAGAAGCATGATTGACATTGTCATTGCATGTGCTGGTTAATTTTCTCTGCAAATAAGCTGAAAATATTGAAATTTCTTTTAAAAACAATCTGCTCCACCCCATTATTCAAATTTATTGATGATACGACATCCAGAAGTTCCCATTTCGTATACTGTGATAATATTACAAATTCCTAATAATTGAACCATTGTGGATTAGTCCCAAATGTGTCTGAAGTTTGTCAAGCACTAAAACAGTGTAAAAGTTGTATTAAATTGATTTCACTCCATTAAGACTATATTCTTGCTACCTTAAAGGCTGCTCTTTACTATGATGAGCAACTAAAATTCCCCAAATTTCATTCTATAATGTTATCGGGGATATAAAGTCAGCATGTCTCTGCTTTAGTGGAAAAATTGATTTCAACTTGCGATCGCAAAAAAAATTTTCGGTTTTCAGTCAGGTTTTCAGTGCGATTGTGGCATAAACAAGCCTAAAAAAATAAGATTTATTTTGAATTTTCCAAAAATTGATGCAACTTCCTTCAAAATTGAGCTGGAAGCTTCAAATAAAAAGCATTTTAAGGGTCCTGTCTTCTTCTTTCTAATGGTTTTATTTTCATTGATTATGGGGGTGGGATTGTCGCATATGTGATGCCTCAAAAGTTTATCAATTTGCTGCTAAATACAATTTTATAAATAAGAATAAAAGCCTGAGCCAAATATTGCATGATTTAAGGCTAATTCCATCAATTTTGTAGTTTAGATCTTTGTAATGTTGTTAGGCCAAAAAATATTATTATTATTGGTTTACTTTTTTTTAATTGACATGCAGTCTAATGCATGTGTATCAAAAATTTATTATATTTGTAATGAATAATTTTGCAATGCCTTTTCCATTGAAATTATATTTTTTGAATTTTAATCAATTAGAAAAAATTTTCATTGTTATTGAAATGTGTGTAAATGTCAACTTATGGATTGTTACTTCAGATTTGTCTTGACAGACATTCAAACACAATATCTGATATGTTATTGTCTTGGACAAAACATCTTCCCTTACATCTGGAAGTTCTCATAAATGAAATACATTTGCCACTGGATCCATAAATTCTGGTAAACAATAGCTCAAATAATTGAGCAGGATAAGATTGGCCTTGATAGTCATTCAAACACGATATCTGAGATTTTATTGTCAAACAATACATGTTTCCTTACAAGTTCTCATAAATGGAGTATTAAACTTGTCACTTGCAATCTTCAAATTTGGTGAATTATCTTTCAACCACTGTAATGTTGCATCTGCCTCGTGTATTTGAAATATCAGATGACTTGGTTGTTTTAGACACTAATCTATCATCATTTTATCTTAGAATAAAATAGGTTGAATAAGTTAAATAGGTTATAATAATGTTCAGTGACTTTCAATACATATCACTGTATTTGGAAAAAGCTAAAGGTATCCAAATAAAAATGCCACTAAAATCAATAGATCTGACCACTTTTTCTGGCTCTACGATTTGTTTGAATTCTAAAGAGTTTTCTAAAGATTACAAACTCAAGTAGTAAACAAAATCCTTTCGGCATACTTTTTCTTGAGGTGTTTGATAATCTTGCTGTCATTTTATCATACTGACCTTATTATCATCTGTGTTTTCTATGGCACCAAGCAGTTTTAATTGCACAATGGCATTCTGTATAGACTGGAAAGTAATAAATAATTCAACATCATTGGGGCATTCAGAACAGTAGAGTTACCTTTTGAAGCCAGAGAGGGTTTAACTATGTCAAGTGTTTATTTCTAAGAATAATTTCAAACATCTCTTTAAGAAATCTCTACCTACAAGTAACATACACCTTTCTTTCATATATGATATATAGTCAGAAACTTAAAGTTAGAAAATTATAAAATAGAGTATTAATTAAAGGATGAGGTTATCAAATATGATGTATAATCTAAGTCATATAATATAACATCAGATCCACTACAATATACAGATAAAATATACATCACATAGAACAAATCAACATATTTCATATTTAGTAAATGAAGAATTAAATTGAATAACCCCTAAAGATTTGAGTGATACATAAATAATATTAAACACATTTAAACCATGAAAATCAATGTTTAGACTGATGTGATGTTCATTTTTCTAATGGAAATCATAAAGTAATCGGTGTAAAATTGTAAAGAAGTGTTAAAATCCAATTCAAAGCAGATTATTGTCAAGGAATGCAGTTCTAGCTCTTACATATTTCAATGGTGATTTCATTGGTTTGAAAATATGTGTCTAACTTATATACATGTATGTAGCCTGATATCTGCATATAGTTGACAGTTTATTGGTTTATTACGGTTTATTGCAATCGAACTCCTGTGGTGCACTAGCAACAAGCCGTTGCGGTTGATACATGCAAGCAGCCGACAAGGTTGAATTCGAAATCAGAAGTAATGAATGACTCTCTATTCAAGAAGGATTCTGACTTTGGGCTTACTGATGGTAATTATCTTTCACAGGATTATTATTCCCCTACCCTCCAGGGTTTTGAGGAATATTGCTTGTGAAAGATACACATATATTCAACTCAACAGAATGAAATAATTGTATAATATACAAATATTTAATTCTATTGAGGTGAATGCCTGTGCATCTTTCACAAGTGATATTCCACGAAGCCCGAAGGGCTAGTGGAATAGCATCTTGTGAAAGTGTCACAGGTATTCATCGAAAATAGAATTAAATATTTGTTTTATTATATCACTGTCATAACATCTTCTATAATTAAATAAGTCATATGTTAACATTGAAATACATTTATATTTCTTCTACAATATAACAATAAATACAATAAATATCAACTACCAAATTGTATAGTCAATAAATATCAACTCCCAAATTGAAGTATTTTAATTTAAGGTTTCATGATAATATTATAATTAATTGTAATATTGCAATGGGTCAATGAAAATGGAACCATTGTGTTCATACTCACAGTATTGGCCATGTGGGTAACAAGGTTGGGAATGTTTTTCAAATGTCCATTCATGACCGTTGAATATCATTTGATATTCACCGGAAGTCACGTGACTTCCGTTGAATATTGCTAGTTATCTTTTAGTCACATGTAGGACATGGACCAATGACCAACTACAAAATACCAAGAAGGCATTAACATGCAAAATTTCACTACCTGCCATTTGACACAGTTGACAACCGCTGAATGCCGACACCAACTGCTAAATGCCAAACACCATCCACAAAATAGTTGGAGACTATAACAATATGTCACCCCTTTTGGTGGTGACATAAAAATCAATCTGAATGATTTTGATATTAAAATGAGTAATATTTTTTAAATATTATTATTATTTCAGGCTCCCCTACAACATCCAAAATCATAAAATGGGTTACATATTTTGTTCAGATATTAATTTATGCCATAAAATATTTAAAGAAGTCATATTGTTTGATCCACTGAATGCAAACTTCCAGTTATTGTTTTGAATTATTTCTGTTTGTTCTTTTTTTTGTTTAAAAAAGTGTTCAACACTTGGACTGAACAGAAAGCCATGCATGTTGTGTAATGCGACATTAACAGCTTTTGCAACACGGCCTGTAATGTAAAAATCCTCCATCGAGACAAACTTCAAATGTAGCGATGCGTCATATAATGTCTTCACTGCAGAGCCGGAAATAACATATGCCATACCACTAGCGTATTGTGGGAAAAAGTCCATGGGAAATTCCTCCCTCGATACATACCATTTATTTTTTTTGTCCCTGAAAACAGGTCTCTTTGATCCTAATGGCCCCATATGTCCATATATAACCTTATTACTGTTACTTTTCTCCAAATATTTTACTAAACTGAATATATTGACAAAAACATCATCGTCAACTTTGAGAGCAAATGTAGCATTTGGGCAATACTTTCCAACCCATTTTAATCCCATCACACCTTTATATGTTAAATTTCTGTATGAGTCCACAAAGTCCTCTTGAATTATGTCCTTAAATAGTAAACTCTCTGCTCTTATTTTGGATTGTAGAGTCTCAGTAGTTTTTCCAAGCAAAAAAATTACTTTGACATTTTTGTCAGGTTTATTATATGAAGTTGTATTTCCCCACGTACTCCTGATGGCCATTCTGCGAGCAGAATTTCCTGGTGCTGTGTAGACATACACAAGAAGAAAAACATCGTTCTTGCAAGTTTGATTTTCATTAATTGTGAATTCAAAATCATGTGGATTGCTGATTTCAGCTGTATAGTTAACTGGATCAATTAAATCATTTTCTGTCCCTTTTCTGGTATCAGATATATTCAGTTGTATAACTGGCTTGCTTGACGTTGTGCTATTTGCACTGTCATGCAAACTGTTTTTGGTACTTCTTATCTGAGGCATAGTTTTATTGTCAATTCCTATTTGAGACATAGTTCCAATGGTAGTTATGTTGTTGCTATTCTCAATTATATCATTCTTCTTGCTTGATAAAGTGATATTGTCATCGTGATGTCTTAGTTTTACCTTCTCTTCTTGCCTCAGATCTGTCAAAACTTTCGCAGTGGTCGAATGACAGTCGAGGATTGTTTCTTTGTTCTTAGTGTACAGATATACACACAACATCAGCATTAAGATTATAATGTAGTTACACTTATAATTTGAGGTCAACACCTTTTGAACGGCTCTGTTGACTCTCATCCTGATTTGTTCAAAATATTCACTTTAAGTTATTACAGATTCAACTGCAGCCCTTTAGTATTATAATGCCAGCAACTAATTTAAAGGCCATGTATAAAGTTTAAATCACTTTGGCTTGCATTGCAATCTTAACGTTCGATATTTAATCTGTTGAATCCTTCAGGAAAACTGCTTTATTAAAGCAATGAAATTCTCAAAGGCAATACAAAAGCAATCTTTTGCAATATTCAATCAATAAATATCGTTGTTAGTGATTTTAAGTGATGAAACCTTGGCACATCAATCTGTATGTGACATAAGTGTTTTATCTACAGTAAAACCTGTCTAATCCGAACACCATTGGGACCGGCTTAAAACGTTCAGATTAGGTGTTCACATTTTGAGGTTTTTGCATTCCAAGATTCCTGATTCTGAGGAAATTTGAACACATTCTCGGTACATATTTATAGTTCATTTGACCACATAGCTTTACGGCATTTCTGAAATTTGAAAATTCAATTCAAATGAATCCAGTCATGCTAGAAAGCCCTAGTATAGGTTAATCAAGACCATTTAAGTTTTTTCCCAAAGTTTTGATATAACAATATTTGAGCAATTTTGTATGAAACATGTGAAATTTTATGAAAAGTGTTCAGATTAGACAGGTTAATTTTTCAAATATGACTGTTCACTGTTCAAATTGAGAGGTGTTCACATTTCAAGTTTTTTTTAACATGGGAGTCAATGGGAGAAAAAAATGGGACCGAAAAAAGTGTTCAGATTGGGAGGTGTTCGGATTAGCCAGGTGTTCAGATATACAGGTTCTACTGTATTATCATTTTTATTTTAATTCCAGATTTTATATTATAGCCTTGCCATAAAGAGCATCTAATGACTTTGTAAACGTTCATAACCCTGCTATAAAATTACTATTTTGATTGTATTCTGGTTTCACTCCCACTTTAGCATCACCTGACTGAGCATTGTATGAATGGCCACAGTTGAATTAAGCTGATTAGCCTTGATGAACATTGGTAATGACCAGTGTCATTTTACAGTGTTAATTTGGTGTAACATTGTACTTAAAATACATGGATATTTGTGTAGTATGGTGTTCACTGCCAAGTGAATCCCGGGAAGTGAATAAGCATTTCAGTTTTGCTTAATATCCCAGACATTGATATGATTTTGTACTATTATCATTTGTTGTCTATTCCTTAGTCTTCTGTTGTCTACATTTAACACTTTACACATCAATCATAGAAGCACCACATACTTTATGTTCTGTTCTGTAATGTCTCTCCTACATAGGTTTTTACATGTTTTGAAGGTTAAATATTCTGGCTGTACTAATTCCTCAAACTTTCACCCATTGACATCATTGATTTAATTCATTTGCATACAGCAAAGCAGTGCACAGGAAATAATCGATTTTCTTTACTTTACCCTCTGTAGCAAAAGTCTTTTCCTATTAAGTAAAACCTCATATAACTTTAGTAAATGACCAGTAAACTTTTCACACATAGTTAAAAGCATATAATACACATTATCCATTAGACGATTGATTAATTTTTACTCAAAATATTGCATACAGAACATATACCTAAAACAATGATATGACTTTTTCCAAGTTTGTGACATCAAAGTTACCTAAGATTGCCAAACTGTCCAAGGTCAGGCTGCTCTGTAAAACTAAGCAGACAAAAGTCTGTATATAAAATGCTAATTATGAGCAATCAGAATATGTTACAGACTTTACAAATGATCCTGTTCATGACAGTTGTATATTTCATAAAATAAAGATGTCACTGAAAGTTGTATAATAACAATGCAAAAGTCCTTACACTTGGGTCTTACAACACTGTTGCCTAACTGTTAATTGTTATGCTATGTTTCCTTAACACGTACCCCTTTCCTGCCAAATGACATCAACGAGTATGATTTTGTGACTAATGTGTCAATTTGATTTTCTTGGGGGTTTATCTTCTAAATATTCTTGATGTAATTTTGGTATTTAATTCAAATGAATCTATGATATTTCCATTTTATTGCAATAATTTTGAATCATAATGCATTGAACATTAATATAATAATGATAGCAGTGCTTATTGTGATGACATATATCTGATTTTCTCAAATAATTTCTGGCAGGATAGGGTTGAGTGAAGTATAACATGGTCTAGGGCTGTTAGTAAAATATATGAGGACAATCAGAGAATATTTAATAACATTCTGCTCATAATTAGCATTTTATATACTGATATAGAAAGATTTTTGTCTGCATACTTTTACAGAGCAACCTGCTTTTGGTCAGTTTGACGTCACAAAGTGTCACATCAGTGTTTTAGGTATATGTTCTGTATGTAATATTTTGAGTAAAACATTGATCAATTGTCAATTTACTATCTCCACCTCTTACCTCAGTAGAAGGCTTATCCATGAAGTCAAACTGAGCTATATTTTTAATTCCCAAAGCCAACAGCTGTAAAGTTACGCTGCATAGATTGCACCTGAGGATCTCAGGGCGTGTGTTTGTGGGCAACGCTTCATAGTCCTCCTCTGTATAAAGACGATAACACGTTCCAGCTGATTCACGTCCTAAAACCATCATTTCATTATTCATTATAATTCCCTTTTACCCCTCCAGTTATTCAATGGCTCAATTTCATCTTGAATCATAGTAGTTAACATTAAGTAGTTAACAGGTCAAATATGAACGGTCTGATACAATATATCATAGAGAAATCTACTAAATGTACTTCAGTGTTCACACATGGAGGTTTTAGTGTACCTACTTTATCTAGGCAACTATTGATTATGATTTTGCTATTATTTAATACTATTATAAATATATCATTGGCAACAAGGCATTAACATTGACAAACCAGAACAACGGCAACGCCAAAGCGTAGCGAATCCCATCGAACAGAAATGGCTGGCATTTTTACAAACGAATAGCAAATATCATAAAACAACACACATAAGAAAGGCCTCCATTTTCAAAATGGTTGCTCACTAGCCAAGTTGTCATCAGAAGAAATAATATGCTTTTCAGTAGCCACCTCTAAAATTTTTGAAAAATTGCACACGTACTTGTAAAATAACACACATAAAAATGGTGGCCATTTTTCAAAATGGCCGACTACTCCCCAAAGTTTTATTAGAAAATGTGCCATTCTTAAAGTATTCACATATCAAATATGAACAAAATCGCTCCACTACTTTTTGAGTTATAGCCTAGTAAAATACGTTAAAATACATTTTTCAAATGGCCGCCTTCTACCAAAAGTGTCATAGGACAGTGTGCCATGCTTATAGTATTCACATACCAAATATGAACAAAATCGCTCCACTACTTTTCGAGTTGTAGTAATTTTTTTTTCAAAATGGCCGCCTTCTACCAAAAGTGTCATAGGACAGTGTGCCGTGCTTATAGTATTCACATACCAAATATGAAAAAACTGTTCCACTACTTTTCGAGTTATAGTAAAATATGTTAAAATGGCGGCCATTTTGAAAAATGGCCGCCTTCTACCAAAAGTGTCTTAAGACAGTGTACAATGCTTATAGTATTCACATACCAAATATGAACAAAATCGCTCCACTATTTTTTGAGTTATAGCAAAAATCGTAAAATGACGAGTAAAGGCCACCATTTTTCAAGATGGCTGCCATGTGCTTCTTTAATATGTACATTTGTAGCATTATTAATGTCCTTTATAATTTTTTTACATTTAAAACATATTGCTATAACAGTTTTACATATTGCACCTAAATTACTGTAAAATCGGCACTAAAATGGCCGCCATTTTGAAATGAGTGGCCATTTTGAAAATCGGCTTTCGAGCAGAACTTCTACTCCCATAAGGTATATGTGTACAAAATATGAACAAAATCGGGCCAACGGTATTTGAGTTATTGCCCGGACGGACGGACGGACATCTTGTAATATATAGATACACTGTCCCACATGTTTTGTTAAAGCAGGACGTACGTACGGACGGACGGAGGCGTTCCCTATATCCCTCCGAACTTCGTTCTATGGGATAATAATATACTTGTAGTTGTAATCACAAATTAAAGTGTAAACATATGTAACAGAAGCACCAGTCACAAATAAGAAAACAGTGGCTAAAATAATACACCCTATAATACACCCTATAATACACGCTATCTTGTACAAAGACATAGTTACATAAACATCCTCACCTGCCCTCCCTGACCTTTGCCATGCCTGAGCCTTGGAGGTCTTCTGGACCTTCAACATGTCCAGTCCACTACGGGGGTTAAACGTTCTGGAATAAATTGCAAATTCAAATAATACAGCAGATGGCATGGTCTACATGTTCAGGCCACTATGGAAATTAAAGTACAAGTTATGGACTAAATTAAACATGATATGAACAGATGGAGATTGGCTTGTGTGATAAATGCATACTATTTATACCTATTGATATAGATGTGTCTTAGTGCCCACTATTAAGTGAAATGTTTCATTCATTGTAGAAACTTGACAGTTTACCCTCAAATTTATTATAAGATTCATTGGCATTAGTGACATTAGTAATATTATCCCAAGTTTCACTAGAGAGGATTTCTTTGAAATTTATGATATTTTTGTTTTGTTATGTCACCACCTAAAAGTGGTGACATATTCTTATTGTCTCCGTTTTTTGTGACAGCGGTTGGTGATCAGCAGTTGGCGATTGGCAGTTGGTGGTTGGTGATAGGCGGTTGGGGTCTGTAACAATTATTTAAACGTCCAATAACTTGACAAATACTGTTTAGACTGACTTCAGTTTTTTTTCAAAATCATCTACAAGTTTTGAGAAGTTCAAATCTGACTTTGCATTTAAGATTTGACATTCAGTGACCTTTTCAAGGTAGAAAAATGTCAAAAAGGTCTTTTTTCAACTTGCTTCAAATTGACCAATGTTTTTTCAAAATCATCTACAAGTTATCAGAAGTTCAAATCTGACTTAAGATTTGAGATTTGACCTCCATCGACCTTCTCAAGGTCAAAAAAGGTCAAAAAGGTATTTTTTCAACTTGCTTCAAATTGACCAATTTTTTTTCAAAATCATCTAGAAGTTCTCAAAAGTTCAAATCTGACTATAGATCTGACCTTCAATGACATTTTAAGGGTCAAAAAAATATTTGACATTCAATGACCTTCTCAAGGTCAAAAAGGTATTTTTTAACTTGCTTCAAATTAACAATTTTTTTTCAAAATCATCTACAAGTTCTCAGAAGTTAAAATCTGACTTTAGATTGAACTAATAATATTGTGAGCAACTAGGTGGTGACATTTTGTCATGTTAATGGATTATTGAGGTTTGTCAGAAATAGCAAAAATTGGAAAGTGATCTGAAACATTGTTATAAATGATTCCACAAAAGGCAATTTTGGGGTTGTAGGTGAAAATATTATCAATTGAAAAAGCAGATTTTGAAGTACCTCTAGTTGCTTTATAAATCATTATGCTATGATAGATAAATGTTATCATATGGAGGCATTTCATCAGTTTGTTATATAATAAGATTGTATTATCAATGTACATGTATGTGTAGATATGTTTAAACTTTAATTGAATAAATTAAAAAAATAAATAGATAAATAATAAAAAAAAAATCATTTGAGAACTATTATTTTTATACAGTCGTCCTTTTGCCCCTGATTGCTCTAAACTTACTTTGCCTTGACTTTGCCTGTGTCAACTACAAACTTGATGTTGCGAATGGTCACTGAAGTCTCTGCAATATTGGTTGCAACGATCACCTTCCTGGTGCCCTGGAATAGCATTTAATGTATGAGATCAAACTCCATGAGCATGTTAGCAATATCGCAAACCAAAGATAAAATTCAATGATAAGTCTTTGAAGGTAGAAAGATTAGCAATTTTCGTCCAGTGTATAAGATGGTGTATCGCAGTTCAAATGTTGAAGACTGAAAAATTGGAACAAAAAGTCGTAATAAGATAGCACCCAGTAGGTAAGTAGAGCTTATTTATTCATTTGGATAACTTGTGAAGATATTAAAGCATTTCTTTAGGTTGATTTTATTGTGCATAACTCTATTATCGCCCATCAAAATTAAACAATTTTCTATCATTTTCTAAATAATTCAATTTTAATCACCACATTGGCTTCCCTTTTCAATTTTTATCCACCTGGCTTATTCTTTGTTAGAATGACGACTGTAAATACTGGTTCACCTGTCAAAGGATCTAGTGCACCCGCCATTATGATCTCCCCATAAACAAAATGAATCATTTTTAGGTGTAACATAAAGAATACAATGTCACATAATACTGTGGAAAATATTTAAGCGTTTGGACCCACATGGGCTGAGGTTGAGGTCATTAAGTTCAGCAAGGGTGTATTGACTTGCCATTGGATGTGCTCCATTGACTTAACATGTGGATATCATCAGATTCCAATGGAGCCCATTGGTTTCTATTGATTTTCACAAAAATACCTAAAATACACTATGACCTGAATCGATTGCAAATTAAATAATTTCACAATATGACACAAATAGTATATCACATCAGACGTGCAAATATAAAGTTTGCAATCGATTCAGGTCATACTTCAAATTAAAGGCTGAGACATTTTTTCATCATTTTTTTCCTACAAAATGGCTATAGGAAAATGCTTCAAAAGCAACTTTTACACTTATGAAATCCCATACAACTTTGTAAATCCAAAGATTATACTGTTATGTTTCATTAATTAACTAGAAAAACAGCAACTCCACGGAGTAGCAAATCCCACCGAACAAAACATATTATGCTTATTATAGCTAGTGTAAATGTTGAAATGTTTGTGCACTTTGTGATAGAAGCATGAAATTTGGCACAAAGTTAGTTTATACCATTGTGAACTAGGCATCATCATATAAAATTTGAACCAAATCCGTTCACTGGTATATGAGTTATCAAAGATTATGTTTTTTACGAAAATTGGCCACCATCTTGAAATTCAGCTGCCATCTTAAAAAATATTTCTTGAACAGAGCTACTGTGTCCCTAGGCATCATCATATGAAATTTGAACCAAATCTGTTCACTGGTATTTGAGTTATCAAAGATTACGTTTTTTCGAAATATTGCCGCCATTTTGAAATTAAGCGGCCATCTTGAAAATTTAATGGTTTGACTATTGGTTCAGACATTTGGAATCAGCTATTTAAATGTATGTCAGACACTGGTCTTTTAAGTATCCAATGGAAAATTTTCCATGGTATATATCCACATGGTGGTTTATTAAAAAATATAACATAGAACAATCTGATTTATGTAAACTATGTAACGAAGTTGATAATATTGAACACTTTTTTATACATTGTAATGCAATTAAATATATTTGGAAAGTGTAGCTTTGAATGATAATGAAAAAATAGGGATGGGAATATTAGATAAAAAGTTATTATACAAGTCACTTGTAATAAAGAAAACTATACATGACTTTAAGTTTTCAAAGAATGAGAGAAAAAATATATCTGTAATGTTTGAATATGAAAAATATGTTAGAAACATTGAGAAAATGTATTTAAAGTTTGTCGAACATAGCTACTGTGTCCCTAAGCATCATCATATAAAATTTGAACCAAATCCGTTCACTGGTATTTGAGTAATCCAAGATTACATATTTTTACGAAAAATGGCCGCCATTTTGAAATTAGGCGGCCATCTTGAAAATCTCTTTTTGTGCAAAACTCCTTTGTCCCTAGAGATCAGCTTATAAAATTTGAACCAAATTCGTCAACTCGTATTTGAGTTATCAACGATTACATTTTTTACGAAAAATGGCGGCCATTTTGAATTGAGAAGGTATATTGAAAATTTCTTCTCGAGCAGAGGTCCTACATTCAAAAGGCATAAGCCTATAAAATTTGAACCAAATCCGTTCACTGGTATATGAGTTATCAAAGATTACGTTTTTTTACGAAAATTGGCCGCCATCTTGAAATTTAGCCGCCATCTTGAAAATTATTTCTTGAACAGAGCTACTGTGTCCCTACACATAATCATATAAAATTTCAACCAAATCTGTTCACTGGTATTTGAGTTATCAAAGATTAAGTTTTTTACGAAAAATTGCCGCCATTTTGAAATTAAGCGGCCATCTTGAAAATTTTTTGTTGAACACAGCAACTGTGTCCCTAAGCATCATCATATAAAATTTGAACCAAATCCGTTCACTGGTATTTGAGTTATCAAAGATTACATATTTTTACGAAAAATGGCCACCATTTTGAAATTAAGCAGCCATCTTGAAAATCTCTTTTTGTGCGAAACTCCTTTGTCGCTAGGCATCAGCATATAAAATTTGAACCAAATCTGCAAACTAGTATTTGAGTTATTAAAGATTACATTTTTTACGAAAAATGGCGGCCATTTTGAATTCAGTCGCCATATTGAAAATTCCTTCTCGAGCAGAGGTCCTACACCCATAAGGCATAAGCCTATAAAATTTGAATCAAATCCGTGAAACGGTATTTGAGTTATCGCCCGGACAAACAGACGGACGGACAGACGGACGAATGGACGGACGGACGGACGGCTTTCCTATATCCCTCTCGAACTTCGTTCGGTGGGATAATAACATATTTGGATAAGATGTAGGGATGTGTAGGATGCAAATGGATTTTGACAGACACAAAAACACTTCCTGGTTTGGCATTTCGACCCCTGTACACTTTATGATTGAATATTGGCCCTAATAAGTGGTCCATTCATCAATACAGTGCTGAATATAGGTCAAAAAGATACTAGTGTACATATAAATGTAATAATAAAAGCAGTATTTTTATTTTGAAAAATCAGATGAATTATTTTTTTCTCATGGGGAGATCCCAATGGAGGGTGTATAAGGTCCTTCGCCAATTTCAAAGGTATTTATTCTTGCTAAATTTGGCAAATTAAATCTCCGACAATTTTCCAATTTTGCCTCAATTAAGTTGACTAATCGTATTACCACAAAGCACAGTGGCTTTGTACACCTACCTTTGGTGCATTTTGAAATACTCTTAGTTGAAGGTGCTGGGGCAGTGATGCATACATTGGTAGTGCTAAGATCTTAGAGGAGTCATCAGAAAGTTCTTTACTGACATCACGTATGGCAGTCACCATTGATTCAATCTCCTCTTGCCCAGTCAGGAAAACAAGAATGTCCTGTCTGAAATGCAAAAATATGATATTTTTAAACACAAATGAAAATTTTTACAAGCATAATATACAGAACATTTAAAAGATCTGGAACACATTAGGATGCCTGTCCAAAATTTATGTACAGTACAGGGTGTTCAATCTAAAAGTAAAGCTAATTTCATAATTATTTACAATCATAAATTATGACTATCATGTCCATCAAACACTGCTAAGTGGAACCTTTGTTAAATGAATCCTCCCAAGTAGAACACTTTATGTACTAAAAGTGTTCCACTTACTCAGGCTTTAGTGTATTGTCACATCAGTGTCACATCAATGTCACATCAGTTCCTTCTTTCAATTGGAATTTCACATTCACATGTATGTAACAAATAAATTAGAGGAGTATAATTAATGACTTAAATGATTTATAGATATCACTTGCTGTAGACATCAAATTGTTAGTAGCACGGATAATACTACTTTTTAGTGCCAATGGCAAAATGGGCTTTATAGTGTTACTTTAGATTCATTTCTCTGTTCCGTGTAAATCAATAAGAGACGTCATCTTGTTTCTTAGTTCAACAATCTTCCAATTACTGTCTGTTACACTGCTTCAAAGGCAAGCAGTTAAACCAGAAATATAAGAAATCTAAATAATATTGTGCAATTAGAAAAAATATATTCATATTGCACACAAATGACATTTGTATATGTTGGATTGCTTGTAAATTGGCTTATAAAGTCTGTAACCTCTTATATTTGACGCTTCTCTACCATGTTAATTCACAAAAAAATAACATGGCGGACGGACCTCAAATTACAAGAGGACACAGGCTTATTGCACTAAACACTAAATAATCTGAAATCTACAAATGTCATTCGTGTGCAATATGAATATATTTTTCTATATATTATGGCACAATGGTCTATAGATTTCTTAATTTTCAGGTTCAACTGCTTGCCTTTGAAGCAGTGTAACAGACTGTAGTATAGTTACTCAATCTACTGATGCCGCTGATGAAGTACACAAAAAACTACAAGGTGAAGTAACTACTGACTAAATCAAGGTAGATGTGAAAGTGGAAATTGTTTGTGATTGAGAAGTTATCAAAACAGCAACAAGGAAAATAGTATGTGCTGGTTAACCATGTATTTGCATACCACATTTGATGTAAATGGAATCTGAATAACCAATGCTCCCATTGATGTTAAAGGGCAATCAAGGTCAAAGGTTGAAATATGTAGACAAGCTACATAAACATTGAATTCATGTACAAACATTTGTGTGTACACATTACCATGTGCAACTATACTCAGATAAAACATAATCCCCCTTTACAAGGCACAAAGCTTGCTTTATTGATAAGGGATGACTTGCATCTAGTATAGTACTTTAAATAGCTAGCATCATTAAATCAAAAAGATTGCTTCATTCTGGAAACACAACTATATTGCATTGAATGACTTGCAATATTTCAGTGCTGGCATTTGTAGTATTAAATAGACTATACACAGTCATCATCATCCATCTACTGTATATACAGTCACATCAAAATATTCACTGAAGAGAGCTTTACAAGACATTAGGCATCTACAGTTTTCTATTAAATATTGTTTAAACATTTGGAACTACTGTTCATGAACTGTACTAGAAAAATTAAGCAGCATACAGCATTACTTTGGAAGTTCAATCAATTTACCTGTATGTTGAGAACTCATAATAGAAACATGGCAAAAGAAGGAATATGGTCATTTGGCTTTGGGAGTAACATGGATGTAATAGCTTTAGAAAACAAAAAGCATGTCAAAGTTCTTGATCATGTCTGCGCCATCCTAAAGGGGTATCGTTTAAGCTTCAACGTTCGAGCATTTGAATGTGTTGAGCCAGCCTATGCAGGAATAGAACGTGGCTCAGAAACTGATGAAGTACATGGTGTTGCGTTTTGTGGAACAAAGGAATCAATGGAAGAATTAGATCGCACAGAAGCTGGCTATGATAAAAAAGAAGAGACTTTCCATGGCTATGATGGGAGAGTAATAAAAGGGTTTGTGTACTTGACGAAACCTGGGTCTGTAAAACCAGAGGTCCCTCCAAGTAGTCGCTATGTCGGGGTTCTCCTTAAAGGTGCCCGTCAGGCAGGCTTGAAGCAAGAATACATAGATGCTCTTACAGCAAGACCAACTTACACCCCTACAGCAGAGACCCTTGCTAAAAGAGCTGCTCTTCCCCCTTTGGACTCCCTCCCTGCTGTTACCGTAGCAGAGTTAGCCAAACATGATGGAAGTGATCCTGACTTGCCTATCCAAGCAGCAGCCCTTGGGTATGTCTTTGAGGTGAAAATGAAGGTATTTAAGTCCCACTATGCACGTGATATAACAACCCGTATGCTTAACCAATTTCACGGCATCCCCATGGACGATAACGATGATAAAGGGCATCCACCTTATCCTATTGAGTCAGACCTACCCAAAGAGGCACTGGAGTATATCACCAGATGGCGTGACCAGTATCTCTCACGTGCTGACAACAAAGTCATAGGTCATGTCAAAGAATATCTTGAGCAACAAAAATCGGGAAAATCTGAGTTCAAACTACCAGCTATTCCAACATAGATATTACGAGAACACAGGATGTTAACACGCACAACTGAAATCAGGAATGGCAGATAACCCTATCCAGAACAGAGAACCTCATTTGGGGGTCACATGTATGTATACTACTCAAAGTACCATGTGGACCATATCTTCATTTCTATACTCTGTTTTTGGCATCTGCTTCCCATGTGAAATAAATGCCCTGTGGACATGATAGCCAGAATCTCTGGTATTAGGCTGTAGGCACGTATGTAGCATTAATAGGATTTTCCTATTAAGATGCTAAAAACACTAAATTCAATACCATAAAACAAAACCAAATAACAGCTTATGAACAGGGTGGTCAAAAAACGGAAACACTTATACCATTGCCCCCGTATCTTTGTAATTTTAAGAAATAACTCCCTGATATTTTACACATTGTACATCATTCATTTACAGCATTTTAAAGAACATGCCCCAGAGGCCACTTTAGCACTGTCGGGAAACCTGCACTTGTCCAAAATGTCCCTATCTGTGGGGATATGGCAGAGATAGAGTGTATGAGAATGACCTCGGGACAATTGCAAACCTCAAAAGTGAGATCATCTGTGTCATTCAGGCCACACTTGCTGAGGAATGCATTCGGGTCATTGACAATAATGTGAAAGTTTGCTTGATGGCCAAACCTGAAGCATCTTCTTCAAAGTGCTGTAAAATTGTGACTATCAGTCTGATGGTCATGACATATTGTAGGGTGGTAGGGAATTGAATGATGTACAAATGTGTGAAATATCAGTGAGTAATTGTTTAAAATAAGAAAGATATGAGGAAAATGCAGGGTTTCCATTTTTGACCACCCTGTACAACATATAATGTAGTTTTTGAATAAATCAATTAGAAAATATATGTATACAGTTATTACGACAATCAGAAATACTTATTTGTCATCCACTATAAAGAGATGTTGTTACAGAGCTTGAGAAGCATAAAATCTTTCTTAGCTGAATGAGCCATTAATTATAACCAGAATTCTGGAAACCTATCTGTATAGAAGTCTGAGTAATACACTATTCAAAGATTTGCATGAGACCCACCATGAGGAGGATATTGGGTGGGGAATTTGACAAAAAAAATCTGGTCAAATATTCTGCACACTCTGACGCTGACCCAGAATCTGCTTTCTTTAAAAAATCTTGATTTTCTAGTTTGTTAATGTTGAAGACGAGCACTGCCATGGAGTATGATTAATATAATAATATTTTGAGATGCTTTCTGATTGGTCAAACAACTATAACTCATGTGGTATCACTCGTGCTGACCAGTGACCATGGAGGTTTAAATAAATAAATAAAAAAATTAAATAACACAAATCTATCAAAAACCAACATCATGGGTTCCTCCATGTGACAGGCCTGTTTCCCGACCCTGTCAAAATCCTAACCCCGAGACAAGACTGCGAGTCAAATTCTTAACCCTCTCCACGTAGGAGGGGGTCTCACGCAAATCTCTGAATGGCGCATAATTAATGTCAAAATAAGATACACAGTGAATTATATCATACATAAAAGGTAGAATTAGATCTATAATAGGTGACGAACAATACATTTTAACTCCCAAAAGATCCTGATATGTTATAATTTGTTATACTACTTTACAGCTAAATGACGCTTCCTAGTCAACTCGTACCCAAGACAACTTGTACCCAAGTCAACTGGTACCCAAGACAACTCGTACCCACGTTTATTTTCTGTATTATGGGTGCATATAAGAAAACAAATTGAGTCAGTGTCAAAATGTTTAATGTTATAATGTGCCTCAATATTTTTTCTGAAGACATTTTTTCTCAATGGATTAAGCAAAGCATTTTGTTTTAACTTGGATTACCTTTGAAGTGCTTTGAAGGGCTTGTTCTAAACTTTTTTTGTAATACATATATATAAATGAATATAATTACAACAGTAACTTTTCAACAAATGAATCAAACAATTAATTTAGCTTAGTGCATTCAGAGAAAATTAATAAGGGAACTTTAATCTGTTAATTTCTTTTCCATTTTGAACTTAATTGGATTATATTTGAACACATGCATGCAAAGTGTATTATATCATGAATGAATAAGTATCAAAATAATATTTGATATTCATATTATTTAGAATATTTTTATTGCTTAATTTTATGAAGGTGACTTCTTAGAATTATCATTCTTTAATCTGATAATATGAAATCCTAAATAGATTATCTGTTTAATAAGAAATAGGCGCAAGTTTTGAAAATCTTTATATTTTTGATAATACCATATTTCAAGATGAATTAGATCTGATACTTGTTCCAAACACTCATAAACATACAAAAATACCACTAATATTGTGAACAATGATTATGAATATGTGGAATAAACATAAATCTCTTCCCTTGAACATCTGAATCTGTGACCAATATATTTGGTCACAAATTTCAATCGATTTCTTCCAAAAACTCTTCTACATACTTCAAACTATTCTGAACTGTATGTAACCATTATAATATGTATATCTACAGGGTGGTCCCAAAAAAATTGGAACATTTGATAATTGAACTCAAAATCATTATTTTTTGTCTAAAATGCACCAAAATTTCACTGAGTATGTTCAATCACTTTTTCATCTGATGTAAAGTTTATAGGTGCAAACAATAAAGTTAATGCATTAAACTAAAGAATTTTTGATATGACCCCCTTTCTCCTGAATTACAAGTTGAAGCCTGGGACTCAGTTTTGAAATGATTCATTCACTTTGCTGTTCGTTTGATTTTGTCCAAGGCATCCTGATTAAAAATTCAGCTTGAACAAACTACTTATAGGCTATGTTTGCCTTGGAAGATCAAATATATGAACATATTCAACATTTTCTTACCTAAATTGATGGGTATCAAGCATATTTTGATGGCTATTGTTGGATATATTACTGATTGAATATTCTCCAGAAAGAGGCCAGGGCAGTCTGTTTGAACTGGCAAATGAACCCCTTCCCCTTTCTTTTTCTAATATGAATAATATTCATTGAATGTATCAATATATGTATATCAATATCATAAAGGAGTTTCCCAGAACACAAATGATATATTATATTGTGTGTGCTTAGAGGTGGTCTTTAATAAATGCCTTGTAAATAACTAGTCAGTTTCCCCTCTACTGAAAAGTGGAAACAATGATTTTTCAGTTTAGCAGCTGTATGGGTTATGCAATCACTCACCTCTGACATGTTATTTCTTTCCTACTCTTAAATAAAAATAATGATTTAGGGCCATTCTTAAGTTGACAATAGCACAATAGTTTTCCAGTAAACCATAGATGTTAATACCTCATGTCAACTAAATATGATTTTATGCTGTATAGCAATCAACATGTTCATTAAAGCTTTGAAATAAAGAATACTTGAAAAAGTAGCTGCGAAACTGACAAGTGTATATTTAAGAAAAGGGGGTCATATCAAACATTGACTAGTTAAACGCATTAACTTTGTGGTTTGCACCTATAATCTTTACATCAGAGAGATAAGTGACTGAACTATGCTCAGTGAAATTTTGGTGCATTTTAGAGGAAAAATAAAGGTGTTGTGTTCAAGTAACAAATGTTCCAATTTTTTTTGGACCACCCTGTATACCCATTTCCAGCCCAACACTTGATTCAAAACAAAACATATACAGGGTGTCCCGAAAGTATGGGCCCCCCCCCCCTAGGCAGACATATTCCAGTGTCCTCATAGTATGTGTCATATATCATTTTAAAGTTTATCCAAAGTTACATTGATTTGCCAAGTATCATGGTTTAACTCCCAAATGGGAAAAAGTTACAGTCATTTTAAAAGTTAGTGTTTTGTCAAAATAAAGTTCAATTTTACACCACATTACTAGTCAATGAGTCCCCCCTTGGCCAAGTTAACAGCAGCAATTATTTTCAGATATGACCTTAAAAGCCCTTCAAATAGGGGTGTGGAATTTTATAACCCTCTTAAAACCTGTTAAGGCACTTTAGAAGAGTTTCCTTAGAATTTCTACCCTCACCATTCTCTTTTTCCAACTCAATATCCATCCGACTCAAAAAAAATTGCTGCTGTTAAGATGGCCCGTAAGGACACATTGACTAGTGATTTGGTGTAAAATTGAACTTAATTTTGACCAAACACTAAATTTTGAAATGTCTGTAATTTTTTCACATTTGAGAGTTGAACCATGATACTTGGTGAATCAATGTAACTTTGAATAAGCTTTAAAATGATATATGACACATACTATGACGACACTGGTATATGTCTGCCTAGGGGGGGGCCATACTTTCGGGACACCCTGTACTTGGGTACAAGTTGTCTTGGGTATGAGTTGTCTTGGGTACGAGTTGTCTTGGGTACGAGTTGTCTTGGGTACGACTTGACTTGGGTACGAGTTGTCTTGGGTACGAGTTGACCAGTTACCTAAATGACTACCTTAAAATTGATCAAGCATGGCCAGAGAGGAGCTCTTCAAAATAGAAAGGGAAAAAGAAAAAGTAATCAACACAATGTAATCAACACAAAATTACATTCATATTATTTACAATGCCTCAGATGAATGTGATGATGAAATTAAGAGGTTAAAATTCAATGTCCAATTTTAAAATGGCAAACTAAGTTGGATCAAAATAAGGTTGGTCGAGGCACATCAAACATGATCATTGATAATTATAAGATTATATAATTGTTTTCAATATTTCAATTTCAATATTTTCAAAATATCTCCATTACTTACTCATTGTTTACTGACTGATAAGTGTTCACAATATAAGTGTTCACAATTTAAGTGTTCACAAATTAAGTGTTCGCTATGAATTGAGATCAGTTTATCAGTTACGAATTCTGGCTAGAATAAAACACAAATGTGCACAATATGAATGTAATCTGGTAATTGATTACATTTCACCTTTTCAAATATGAATTTCAAAAGGCTTAATAATCTATGTTCTATTATGAAAAAAATCAAAATTTTGGAATACAAGCCAAAATGCGAAATTCTGCAAAAAAGTCTGCAATTTATTGCTGCATTTTTTCATGGCATTTTTTGTTGAACGAGTGTTAAAATCAAAATAAAACTGCTATATTTTTATTTTAATATTCTACCTCAAGAATAATTGCTAGTCACAATATTTCCAACTTCATGTCACAAACACATATACAAAGAATCAAGGAGTTCAGAATGGTACATGTAATAGTTAGCCAACCTCTGTAAAGCATGTTAGTGGGATTTTCATTTGGGTCAAAAATGACTCATTCATTATACTATTCACTTTAAATAAACCAAACTTACCTCGGAGGTGCTTCTTGGTGAATCTGGAATATTGTACTAAGGGCAGAGAATTGGTAGTCACTCTGGGTCTCACATGTGTACATCATCTACAACAGCGTGAATAATCAAATCATAAACCCAGATTCATCATACTGAGTCACTTGTAAGCTTTTATATGTATTGAATGTGAGGAGGAACACATTAGAAAGTGAGGACCTTTGCTGAACTGAGATACAACAAGCACTCATTGGTGGAATCTAGATCATATATAAATGGGGTTTGGTTGGTATCACCATGGGCTTTCAAATCTAGTTGAAAGCCCATGGTATCACCTTAAATAGCTAACCTGGGTTATGAACACACAAAAGAATGAATTGACAACTTTACTGATTAATTGCGAAAACACTAGTCTTCACCCAGTGATGTTTTCTTCACGTATGCTCACCTTGACAGGAAACTGCCTTCCCTCCAAGTATAATACTGGAGCGTCATTGAAATAACGGGAAAACTGGTCAACGTCCATTGTTGCTGACATCACAATGATCTGAATAAGAAAATATGAAATTTATCACTTGACTGGCCTGTAAAGAAAAGTGTCAGTTATTCCTGTGACTATATTTGTCTATTGTATCTTCTTGTACAGTAGGAAAGGTTTTGAAATCAGCAAACAAATATTTTCAAATGAAATGAAATGGCACTGTTCAGTGATGGTTAGTCTGATAATTTGGAAAATGTGATATTTTGGTAACAAGAAAGCTAATTCCTCCAAAACAAGGAAAAAATATGAGCCTGGACCAACTGGACAAATGGCATATTTACTAAGACTCATTTTTAAAGTTATGTGTAGGAATCACAAAATTGGCTCTTGAAATCTATAGTTTGAAAATACTATAATGGAAATGGAAGTCCAAAACACTTAGACACAACATTTCGTAAACAGAACATTAATACAACAACATTATTTCTTACGAATACCGAAGCTGACACTGACACCGAAGGTGACATCCAATGCTGGTCACAAAAAATGGTTGTTATGACAAATAAATGATAATTTCTAAAATTGTATTATTTTTCTCAGCATCACTTGTGTACGGGTGGAATTTGTATGGATGAATTTCATAAGAATATGAATTTGAATGATCTTGAATATTTTTGCAGAAAACAGTTTTGTTTGTTACACTTTGTGTATCATTAAAAGAATAGATGGACGCACTTTAAGTGGGGTGATTCCTCTTTGCCTTCTCTGGTGTTGGGCTGACTTAACAACCCCAAACAAGACATCTGTGTGAATCGTGCGTTCATGAGCCTCATCCAATAGGACAACAGCATACCTGAAATAACCCAAGAACTGAATAAACATAATTGAATATATTTTCCGCAACTGTGAAATATTTAGGAAGATTCCCTCATTACATAAGACTACAACACAGTTCACTTGTGAAACAGCTCCATTTAAAGCCAATGAGAAATCCTTAAAAGCAAGCCCAATACCCTGTTTAAAAACCTATTCTTACTATTAAAATGGATTCAAGCTATACTATCCCACATGAATGTACTTGTTGAGATTCAATCAACTGGAGTTCGGTGAAAATGAGGATTTCAGCAAGAGTGCATTGACATGTAATGGGGATGCAAAAATATTGGTTAGTTCTAATTAGTGAAGACTTAAATGAATACTACATGTATAAGTGGAACACCTGCCAAGTGGAACACTTTTTAGAGGTAGCAAACACATGATCCACTTGCACAGGTGTTACACTACATGTAGTTACCTCTTGAGCAGTGGATCCAAGATTGACTCCCTCAATAGCATACCATCTGTCATGTATTTGATCTTGGTCTTTTCACTTGTAGTGTCATCAAATCTCACACAATACCCAACCTGAAATGTCAAATATATTTTTCACAATATGGAGCAACAAGGTGTTAACATGCAAAATGTCACCACTTGCCATTTGTTACAGATGCCAACCACAAACACTGTCCACAAAAAAGTCGGAGACTATAACAATGTCACCAATTGTGGTGGTGACATAATGACCATCCATGCATAGCACTGAGTAAACCTGACAGATGTCATGGCTTTTGAATTTAGATTCTGATCTATATATCAAGAAGGATTCCAAGCCAGAGCAGACAGAAAGTTCCCCCAGACTGGAATAGAAATTTAAGTCGACCAATTATGATCTAACTTTTTCAGTATTAGACATATGGATATCATTAAAATATAATGGGTAGTAGTCTTATAACAAAGGGGCATGTACGATTAAATAACATTTGATGAAGCATTGATTAATATTTATATGGACATCAATATCAATAAAGTCATTGAACTGAAGTTCAGAGCTTATTTTGTTGGCTTAAATTGCAAAGATTCTGAAAAATTAAATTGTGAAAATTTCGATACAAATTTTCAAAAATAGTCTAAAAATACACTTGTATAACTTTTGTTTGTACTGCTTTTAATCATTTTTAGTAGTGTGTATATGATGCATGTATTTACATTCTGTAGTTACTAGTAAGAATACAAAATCTGCAGTTAACCTGACAGAGCTCATGCCTTTGGAATCAAGATTCCGGTCTATCTCGGAAAGAATTACAATATGTCAATAAGACAATCAATAATAATAGGTATTTTTTAAAAACCATGTTTATTTATTCTATACATGTATAAAGAGCCAAAGTAAGAGTGCTTTTATAAAATATTATAATACAAATAAAAATTCATTCAATATATCTATGGAAAGAATATTCATGATGAGATTCCAGAATCAAAACATCATGAAAAACTTTCAAAGTGATCAATATACATGTACATGTACCTGTACATGTATATACAGAATTGATAAAAGCTCTCAAAGGAAATGAAATGAGTTTCGACTTAGCCCTATCCTTTTAATGAAAAATAAAATGATCATACATTGTTATGTCCTAAAAAAAATTATAATTCTATAACAACTAGAAAAAAAAATCAGCTATTTGAAAAGGCTTCTTACATAATTTTTACAATACTGTACTGCCAAATTTCTATACAAGAAAATAATAAGACATTCAAAAATTATCAAAATTTTATTTTGGATAGGCAGGTATGGTTATGACCTGTTCAGCATTTGAAATGTTATAACCTTATAACGATGAAGTTAAATGTCCAAGTAAAAATACAACTAAAAAAAGATTCATTTACAGAAGCTACACTGTAGGTTACATATAACATGTATGTTACATATCATTTTGTCATCAAAATTTTAAAATTCAGAAGCCTTACAACCAAAGCTTTTAAAATATTATTTGCAATTTGTTTAAAATTTGTTTATAATTATTTTTACAGAGTTTGCCCATAAACTTGCAGAGATAGTTCATACCCCCCTCTATATCCTAATCAATGTTATTCCCCAATTGCTTGTGGTCCTGAACATTGTCACCATTCAATGGTTGATAGCCACCATAGTGTTGGTGCCTGGTATGTCTTATATGTTCAATCCTGGTCATTGTTATTCCCCAATTGCTCGTGGTTCTGAATATTGTCACCATTCAATGGTTGATAGCCACTATAGTGTTGATGCCTGGTATGTCTTATATGTTCAGATAGCATCAACACACTGTGGAATCGGAAGTAGATGGATAGAGGGAAAAACAAGTGAACCATGATGAGCCAGTTGTTGCATCCAAAAAAGTGTTCTTGAACAGGGGATGCATTTGAGAGTTTTACCTCAACGATACTGTCTGCTAACCAATGACCAAAGTTGAGTATCAATACGAAACCTAGACACTCGGATAACCAATTATCAGTAGGGCCAATGTAGAAACTGGATAGCATGATGATCAGATATACTTGTTGAATTACTTGAATAATTTTGAAAGTATGGCGTATCAAACTAAGGACGCTGATGATGAGGAATTCTTGATAACTTTCATCATAGTACGACATATCGTGAATAATGTTAAAGTCGCTACATTTGTCTGCCCAGAAAGGATCGGTGGTTTTGTAGATTAAAGTTGGAATCACAGAGACATACAGGAACGCAGCATTAATAAATAGGCCAAGAGATGAGATTAACAGGATGACAGATTTAGTGTCAATGTTACCATACTGTCTCATTTGACCAGATTTTTTCAGTCTGTATAGCACATATGTGCAAACCATTATGAGTGCCAGGTCATAAATTGTTTTAATCCAGGTGACAATATAGATTGCTTTGCTGTAAAATGTCTGAACATATAAAAGACCCTCAAATGTAAACATCAGAGTCATAAACAGGATTCCAACAATCCATAAAAGTCCATAGCAATTCACATGATGACCTTCTTGAGGGTTAGCATCATTTGCACCAATCACATCATTGTTTTCATTCACTTCATTGTTTGCATCATTATTTCTACCAATCAGAGCATGCTGTCTATTCACATCATCATTTGGACCACCATCACCAATATCATCTGGGAAGTCAATCATTTCAGCATACATATTCATATGACTGTGCTTTATATGAGACCAAGTATGTAGAAGTAAACTAGTTGCTAGGATACAGAACTCCATCTGAACAGGGTAGAGATAAATCTCTACATTGTCTGCTGTTGTCTGCAGTGCTGTCTCACCATGGAGACACTCATTCGCATGTTTTTGTATAGCAGGGTCAAGCATTGTTGTGTTATACTTGTTCTGTTCTGGGAATATATTTTTACAATTGAACAAAAATGAGTATATCCACAAGAACATGTTTGTTCCTGACGCTAGCATAAACACATAGGATTTTTCGATGTTTGGATTGTTCTGAATGTTGCCATAGTTACACCACATCAAAAACAGCAGCTGTGATGGCATGTAAATCAGAGGTTCCAAGATCAGCAATACAAGGTTGATTATTTTTTCCTCATATAGCTTCTTAAAATGTTTATACACATTCAAACATTCAGCTGTGGCAATGATTCGAAATAAATCATAGATGAATGTTCCAACAAGGAATACAGTTAGGCAAATGAATGCTATTCCGTGTGTATCAGAGAGCCTCCAGGGAACGTACCTCCATTGAGTTTTATTCACCCTGGTAAACACAAAGAGACACATAACAGTTGTTACTTGTAGCATCAGTGACATTACTAATAGAACAGTCTCAGTAACCCCATGTGATTTATCAGTAGTTATCCAGCGAGTGAGTCCAATTGTTCCAAACATTGCCAGGAATACCACCATGAGTATATAACTCATTACAGTCCATTTTGATTGTGCCATATTTGCATAAAACGTTCACCAGTTTGTTTCTGCTTACTGTATAATATACTTTGATTAAATGCCTGTTATTTGGGATTCAATGCCTGTAACTCGCTGGACTGATTTCTGCAGTCTGTTAATTATTGCTTATATTACAAAACGAAACTGTAAAAATATCAAATTACAGTCTCTTTAAAAAAGTGATGTTGACTCACCACATTAATGTAGCAGTTTCAGCTTTAGGGTTAGCAGGTATCCTTTGCAAGAGTTCTATTTAATCTAAACTCTTTAAATGAAATCATTTTTTAAGATCTAAGTCAATATCAAATAAAAAATCACAACACTATATTCAAGCATATACTAGTATATCTAAAATTGAATTCACATTCGATCATGACTGTATTCATGTCTATAAACTGTAAAGTAATACCTCAGCCGGTATTTATTTGTTGATTACAATACCTGGCCTGAACTAAGTGTTTCATTCAGTGCACTGGAAGTAGGAAATGAAGTGACAATGTTGAAAGATTTTGGTGAGTTTTCATCAGATATCAGATATAATAGTTAAAGGTATCGAAAACATTACAGAAAATGCTTGTGCCTAACCCTGTCATATTTATTCATTGATATAATACATGCTCTTTCGTCTGTCTCTTTTTCTGAATTCAAACTTCAAAAAGGCCATGAAAACTACATTTGAGACCATGAAGATCTTATTAGTATCAACTTTGAAATCATTTGAAAAGTTAGAGGGATTGTTGATCTATTGGGTATTCAGAGTAGTTCAACATGACATCTCTATGTTTTTTACTTCCTCCTTCTCAGAAATTCAAAAAGAAAGATATCTGAAGAACAGTTCATCATTCATATATAACACGCAGGGATGGATCTTGCATTCTACCCACACAGCTCCATGAGATTCTTTACTTATAATGTAAAGCCAATTCCCCTTTAAATTAATTTTGGTTTGTAGAAAACTAAATTGCTTGTTGCATTTGTTATTTATATTCAAGCTGTTTAGTTTGGTTGGGTGATCAGTACAAAAGACTGCAGTGTGAGCTTGTATGTTGATTTATACCTGGATATCCCCATTACTATTTTCTGTGTAAAAATCAGTTTCTAACAAGGCATCAACATGCAAAATGTCACTACCTGCCATTTGTTACAAATGCCGTGATTTTGTTACAGACACCAACCACCAACTGCACAACTACGAACACTAACCACCAAACACCATACATGAAAAAGTTGGAGACAATACCAATATGTCACCACTTGTGGTGGTGAAATAATAAACCTTTAAATGCATTCTTACCCAAGATACAATTCATGCCCCCTCGAAAATACATGCTTGAAACTGTGAAATGATGGCAGAATACCGTTGGAAAGTTTTTACCTTGAACCAAATAAATCCTACCCCTACCACTTTGGTAGAGTATTGTAATTAAATCTACAATGCTTTAGTCTAAATGTCTTACCAATGCTCCAACATCTTGCCCCTTCTCCTGACTGACCCTTTGAGCAACAGTAATGGCTGCCACACGTCTTGGTTGTGTGCACGCAATCATCAGGTTACGATGCATCCCTGTCTCGTAAATGTACTGAAAGTGAGATGTTGCATGTTTGTGAAGGCTCATAAGGGGGGGGGGGGTTAATTGTCTAAAGGGGGGGAGGGGCGTGAACCTCCCCCCAGCACCCCAACCCCTGCAAACAAATAATTTTTCCTATTTTAAACCAACCCCCTTTGTAATGAAAAGGGCAGTGGCAGATCTGGAAGCTAAGAATGGGGGACCCACATTTCTCAAGTCTGAAAAAATATCTGCAATAGAGATTTTTGGGCCCTTAAAACCAAATATTGGACCTTAATTTTTAAAAAATCAAGGCCCATGTTTTGATAATTTGGACAATAATTGGATAATAAGGCCCTAAAAGTCAGGACAATCCTGACAATCTGGAGGGGAAGTGGCACAAAAATGTCCGCGCTTGCGTTGAGAGAAAAAAATCGAGCGCAGATTTTTAAAAACAACTCAAAAATTTAAAAAAAACTATGCTCAGTAATTCCAGTTTTTATCTCAATTGCCCAGTTTATGTGGGGAAGAGCAGGTTTTCTTTAGAAAACGCAAAAAAGGTAGGTTCTCTTTTTCTTAGATCATCAAGGGGGGGGGGGCTCAAGTCCCCCCTGGCTACGGGCCTGTATAATCAAATATACACTTTCCATATTTAGCAAAACAAAGGAAAATTCTTTAAAATTGTCTGTATTTATCATCTAAAAATGTAGTTATCATTTCCAGTAAGCTGCCATCTTTTCCGTAAGCTGTAGAATATATCAGTAACACTCAACCATAGATCAATATGATATTTTATCATTTTGAGGATGTAACATTACTCTAGTTGTACATGTAATTTACATATCATGTTATAATACATGTTCATGTATTTCAATACACAAATGGTTAAGAAAAATAATTTAGCCTTTGTGTAACATACCTGGGGTATCTGTGTTGTTTTACCGCTAGCTGTTTCACCAATCACAATTGAGCTATCATTTTGACGAAGCTCATGGAGAAGTCGCTTCCGTGCTGGAAATATTGGCAGATTTTGCCGCTGTGCTTGTATCTCTTGCCATGTTGGGCTGTTATTGGATCCTACATTAAAAGCAAAATTAAAAAAGACTTTTGATTACATTTAATTTTCAAAGGAGGAGTGTGTCACAAGACACAATTCTTACAATGCAATAAAGCACAATATAAAGCAATACAATATTAAGCATAATATAATACAATAAAGTCAAGTACCATACCCTTACCATACTAAAACCATGAGGCAGAGTTAAAACATTTGGAAGTGTTAAAAGTAGAATGTACATTTCTTAATAACTGAAATAGAAAGACACTTTGTTATCATATCATACATCTTAAAGATGTGGTACCCTTACCTGAGAACTTTTGTCGCTTGGCAGGGGTTACTGATTCCATATCTGATTAATGTGTCAATCTGAAGTTATAAAGTTAACATGCATGTATGCATGGGTGGAGTCTTTTATGGAAAAAACAATGACAAGATGCTCTGGGATAATGTCACTGACAATTCCCAAAAAACAGAATATTTTTTAAATGAATTAAAATCAACCTCCGAAAACATCACCATATGAGGGGTGATCATATATTCAAATGTTTACGCAGACTAACTTATCAACCCAGCAAAAAAAAGTATAACAGAAATATTTATTTAGAAATGGTTGCCATAGAAACCCAAATTAAGGGACCTGGGGCAAATAAAAAATTGTGAGAGTGACCCTAAACCATATAAAAATAAGCTCATGAAGCATGACAAACTGATGTTGTGATTTTCACTGGTACCCCACTGTAAATCTGTTCAGATGATTACAATACACATTTGAGATGATTTTCACTGGTACTTCACTAGATTACATCTACACCAATCACCGAATGGTCCATTCATTTCAGGTAACAAAATGTTGGAATCTTAAAGGTACTACTTTTCTTTGGCCACCTTCTACCAAAAGTGTCATTAGACAGTGTGCCATGCCTATAGTATTCACATACCAAATATGAACAAAATCGCTCAACTACTTTTCCAGTTAAAGTAAAATACGTTAAAATGGCGGCCATTTTGAAAACTGGCCACCTTCTACCAAAAGTGTCTTTAGACAGTGTGCCATGCTTATAGTATTCACATACCAAATATGAACAAAATCGCTCCACTACTTTTCGAGTTATAGTAAAATCGTGCGAACAGTATTTGAGTTATTGCCCGGACGGACGGACGGACAGATAGACGGACGGAGGCGTTCCCTTTATCCCTCCGAACTTCGTTCGACAGGATAAAAATAAAAACATGATTATCTCGTACAGGTACATGTTGATACTTGATTAAAAAAGAAAATTATCATAATTATGACAATACAGAAAGTGAACATTCTCCCACAAATTATGTTTGTATTGGAATGTGTTCTTGAATAATTTCCCACAATGCAATACTCGAAGAGAACATCTTGATACCTCTTATTCTTATTGGTCTTTTTTGTTTACTTTTACATGATATTGAATATATTTTATGCCTAAATCATATTGAAAATTGATTTTTATTCAAAATAATACTAAAACATATACATTTATCTGATTATCTGAAATATTACCATAAAAGGGAAGCATGGGTTGCTCATTTTGAAGGTCTCATGTTATTACACAGAGTTGCATACCCTTCTAATTGAAAGCCCATGATAAAGAGAAGCTTACTTTTACTTTTCCCTTGGCCTATGGCCAGAATAAGCTTTTTCATTTAGTCCAAGGTGGTCCATATGCCATGAGTTCTAGCCAAGTAAATTGGCTAGAGACTCGAGTAACCTGGTGTTTTAGATTCTGTACACAGTGAACAGAAGCACCCCCAGCCCTTACATTGGACTGTAATCTGTATCTGTCATGGAGAACTTCTAGACTATATCCTCTCGTCTGAAATTTTTTGAAATTTGGAATGAAAATATTCAGACTGGATTCTCAGGATATTCAGTCTGTTGGATATAGACTAGGAGAACTTCTGTGTTTACGAAAAAGACCGACTCTACCAACCACCGACCAGTCGGTGTTTTCCACTGGTAGCCTCAAAACAGGGTTTGAAGAAAATGTGTTAAAGACCAACCATACATGTATCATGTAAGAGACCGACCATCTTTGTAGCCTTAAAAATAAATTATTCGATTTTGAATGTCAATCGAAGGTAACGTTTTTAACGATTTTGTTCCTTTCAACAAAAGACAAGCAAACAAATCACAGCATTACGGCACCACGACGATGAACTACGTTTTTCATTGTGATTTGTAATGATTAAATACATTTTTTAATCACAGATCACGACCTTGTAAAGGTAATGTAATATAGTCATTGGATTCCCAGTTTAAGTTTTACTTTATTCTAATTTTGCATCTTTATGTACATGTTTTGTGTAAAAGACCGACAGCCAACCACCAACCATGTGTACCCAACTATGGAGAGTGACTGGTCGGTGTTTTTCATAAACCCAGAACTTCCCATTACCGTGATTCTGTATGATAGGCTGATGTTATAGTCTAGATCTCGATTAGAGATTCAGGTCACACATATTCTGAATTTTTGAACTAGACATATAACAGTTCAAAAACTACTTTATTGTCCAAATATGGTAACGTCTAAAAACATCAACAAATTGAACATGTGGTGAAAAATCTAAATTCACATTTAATCAATAACAACCAAAAATAATTAAGTTTTAGACTAAGGTAAAACCTCGAGACGTATAGTTACCTAATTATTAAATATTCAATTACACATTAGGACATCTTGGTGTAGCATATTTGTCAAAAATCGTTGGAATTTTTCAAATAAATAAAAATTTACTTAATCTTATGGGCGCAGACATCTTGGATATATTGCTCCGATTTGATTGGTCAATAAAGTAGACCTATATTTTAACCCGAGAAACGGTCACCGCGACACCGTGTGGTTGGGGAGCGAAATTACAAAACAAATATTGAAATTTAAAAATCGTCTGATCGTGAATGAATCAGGGTAAAGTAGTATATATTGGATCACATTTATTGATAAAGACTCTACTTGCATCGGTCTGGTAAGTTCATTGATATTTTTTTGTTCAATCTATGTTTCCAAGATATTTTCAATGATTTTGCAATCTCATCTGAAACAGATTCAGAGGGAGAATCATCACAGGATCTTGTAGCACGTTTATGATGACTGATATGGGGCTGCCTGATATGGGAGCCTGATTCTTATACTATAGGGCCTATCATAGTGCTCATCTCATATCATAGTGCTACAGTTGGGGACAAAAATAAATGACAGGTCGATTTTCGATCACCATTTCTTAATTATGGTCGTCTGAAAGCCCATAATTTCCAATATTGTCTAGATACATATCCCTTAAAATTTGTATATTTCACATTTTGTATAATCTCATCCACTGATGTATGGCCTCTTGAAAATTCTCTTATTTTTAACATGGGAAATTCTCACTTCAGCAAATCCACCTGTCATTTATTTATGTCCCGAACTGTATGTGTCTCTGTGAGAATCATTTGCTTACCGGCATATGTCTCCCTCACGGATAGCCTAGTGGGAAGTCCTCCATCTAGGGGACAAATAATATAAGTAATATATCTGGAGGACTTCCCATAACCGTGGTCTCCCTCCCTCATATTTTTCAATATTATATAGAGAATATAACAGAGGCGGGTTCACTTACTCCCCTGACAAATATTACAATGGGGTTCACTTATCCTGTGCCAGGACTATTCTTGACGGGATCCTTGGCTCACATGGGGTACCTCGTTTGATATTTGGTATGGCTTACATAGGCGTAGCGCCCGATATGCCTGGTATGCACAGGCGTACCAGATGGTTGCAAATACACTCCAAGTACAACCAAACTTCAAAATTCTCCGGGGGCAGAACAGACCCAGACCCCCCTGAACACTCATTTTTCGCTTTGCTCAACTCATATTCTGGCCTGGTGGTGACGTACCACTCATTAAAATAGCGCTACTCCCATGGCTAAGGACCAAAATTTAAGGATCTTGTCTAAGAATGCCCCCTAAATTATGACTTGGTTTGTGGCAATGTTGTATTTTTCTACCTTGTTGGTACATGTATGAGAATGGTTTGGAAAATATGTTACCTCTTATTTGTATTGCATTGGTAGATAGTAGTTACACATAACCTTAATTCCAGGTTATTTTGGATCGTTTTCCTCAAAGATTTGCTTTCTCCCAGGGGCTTTAGACATTTTGAATGGCCTTGGTCTTGGATATTTGATACATGGTTTTGGTCCTATATTTGAACACTTGGTATGGCATTGGTCTTTTTTGGGCATTTGGTTTGTATTGGAACACATTGAAATTTGACAGATTGGCCGATTCTGAGGGTTCAGCCTAGGACAACTGCATACAATCATGTATAAGTGAACCCCTCGGGTAAGATACATTGTAGCCTCCTGAATCGGGCCTTTCTGCACGAATGGGGTGTGCATTGGAATTGACTTTCATCCACAGAATTACAGAATCTTAAATTTTGATCAAATTATGTACCTTTTTTGATCAGAGCAATTGTTCGAAGTTTTAATGTGTGAGACTTTATGTAGGATTTCTTCCAAGACCTAAATCCCGAACATTGCATCTCTAGTTCCCCTGTTTTTTTTTAAAACCCTTTTTGATATTGTGTTTGACTTAGTCTCTACCATTTATATATTGTACATGAGTCTTGTTTAATGTTGCCCATGCACTGATGTATTCTAATAACACACAAAAACACATTTTAGGCTAACAGACCTTGTGTTGGACTTGCAGCTAACATAGCACTTACCCGATCACTTTAACACTCTAACTGCCCAAGATGTCAGTGACACTGGTTTCAGTGAAGGAAACGGACAAAGGCAAGTAGAATAATTTAAGAACACAACTGCAGTTTCAAATACTAGTTTGCACTGCTTCTCAGTTAAATATTCATGGGGTATTTTCCAATTTCCATTTCATGTATGAGATTAACTGTGAGTGTCATCCATTATTTTATCCTTTTGACAGGTTACAATACAAACAGATTTTGATATGGGTTGCAGTGATCTGGTTGCATAATTATAATATTTTTTATTTTCTCAAATCTATGTTTATGAAAAGGACTGACAGGTAAAGAGAAATCTAATTTACAGTACAGTCAAAATATAATGCTATCTCAACAGTATTATATCCATTGTAATTCTAGAGACATGATACGGTATGAGTTATCATTTCTTTCCTCTATAATGAATTAATAAAGACTTTAGACAAAATGGGATTTTGAAATATTGTTATAGTTTTAAGTTTATGATAATATTATCACAAAAGTACATGTAACCAATGACTCATATGTCAGTTTTTATGATGTTGTATTAGTACCTAAGTCCTAAAACATTATTGTTACAGATTACGGTGCAATACACTGTACAGTAACACCTTTCTCAGTGAACTCCTCTTTCTAGTGAATACCTGTGTTAAGCGATTATCACTTAAGACACATTTTCCATTGACTCCTGTATAAAATTCCCTCTCTATAGTGAGTAGTGAACATTTATCTACAGTGAACACTGTTTTGTGGCTCAATAGGTGTTCACTTTACACAGGTCTTACTGTATCATTTTAGTTCACCAAATTTTCAGTTGCTCAATACCACGGGGTACCATAGAATAATTTTGGCAACGTACCGGAGAACGACATTTTACTAAGAAATGGCAATAATTTAGCACAATATATTTTTTAACTAGAGTTCTACTTTGATTTTGACAAAAGTAAGTATTCCATGCAATGGCTATTTCATTCATGAGTTTGTAGGAATTCTGTTGGAACCCAGTTCTGATCAAGTACAAAGTTATTGAAATCGGCGCAGTCGGACTTTACTCCGAAAGATGGTTTTTCGATTATTACTTTTTACAACATTTAAGTATAGACTTTTGAAAAAAGTACAGAATAGTCCTTATACTATTGAATAATTCTGTTATTTCTGATTCACACGACTCTGATTTGTTTAATTAAAAAAAAGTTTTAAAAATATTACTTAGGAACGTAACCGGAGCTGGGAATGTTACCGGAGCAGATCAGTTGAATTATATAATTTAAAAAAATAAAATATATGATTTAAAGCATATGTATTAATAAATACGCATTCGAACAATCCCGTATGTTTTTAAATTAGTATATGTGCTTTAAATCATATATTTTAATTTTTTGATTAAATAATTCAACTGATCTGCTCCGGTTACGTTCCCAGCTCCGGTTACGTTCCTAAGTAATATTTTTAAAACTTTTTTTTAATTAAACAAATCAGAGTCGTGTGAATCAGAAATAACAGAATTATTCAAAAGTATAATGACTATTCTGTACTTTTTTCAAAAGTCTATACTTAAATGTTGTGAAAAGTTATAATCGAAAAACCATCTTTCGGAGTAAAGTCCGTCTGCGCCGATTTCAATAACTTCGTACTTGATCAGAACTGGGTTCCAACAGAATTCTTACAAACTCATGAATGAAATAGTTATTGCATGGAATACTTACTTTTGTCAAAATCAAAATAGAACTCTAGTTAAAAAATATATTATGCTAAATTATTGCCATTTCTTAGTAAAATAACGTTCTCCGGTATGTTGCCAAAATTATTCGATGGTACCCCGTGAATACAGGTGTTATCTCCTGGGTAAAGGTCAAGTAATGTTCCTTCCTGCTTCATATGATCGCAGCTTCTGTAGATGATTAGTTAGAATTAACAACAAATTAACTTTCAAATGACTAATATTATTGAGAGTTGTTTAAGATCTTCTATGTTTTTCATGGTATAATACATGTTCACCCTGGAATAGCCTGACAACGGTAAAGTCAGATACCGTTTTCACAAATGGTGGACATAACCGTCGTTTCAATTAGATTTTCATGAACTCATTGTACCGTTAATAATGTTCTACCATCAATTTAACTGATCAAAATGAGATACGAGACAAATGGACACTGTACCATATGCTGTTGTCTTTCTAAATTACTCAAAATCAATGAGCATTGATAAAGAATTGGTTGAGAAGGTATTTCATGGGACTCTTGTCAGGAAATATTTAAATTTTGATTTGTAATAGCAAGATATTCAGTGTTACCGTTTGTCAGTGGTAAAGTCACCACCAGGAAGCTAGCCTTGTACTATTCATGTTATCAGTAACATACCATCATACAACACATCAATATAAAGTCATGTCCATTAATGTAGCTCTTCAAACTAAGTGATAACAGTTCATGAATTATGGTATGTCCACACTTGATATCAGAAATGTTTGTTTAATAAAGTTGAAAATAGAGCGACTGTCTTTCATAGCTTCTAAGTTCTCGATCAATCAAAATCGGTTATTAGTCAAATCTATACAAGAATAAGTTAAACTTAATTCAAAAAAATTAAGTTTTATGGGAGAAGAGTTTTGAAATTTCCCTCTTTTTGGAAAGTATATTGATACCTGTGTATCCAAAAGCCTCTCTTATCTGAACATCTCCCAATATGAACTATTTTTCTAGGTCCCAATTTTATAATTTCCTATAGACTTGAACATATTGGAAAACCTTGAAATGTCTCCTAATCAGAACGCTTTTACACAGCAGGCCCTTAGCCAGGATTTACCAAGTTCAGTTCAGTTTTCAAAAATTTCCAGGAGGGGGGTCACATTTGACAATTTTGGCCCAAATATGGCTAAAATCATTTGAGAAGTGCTCAAATTGAGAGTGCTCAAAATGGTGAAAAACTACATGATTTTGAAAGAATTTTTGGCCAGTTGGGGGGGGGGGGGTGAAACCCCCTGGCCTGCACAGTACAAATGGTGTTCAGATTAGAAAGGTTTTACTATACACCTCAACAAGTCAAGATTTAAGAGTGTAGATAGAGCTGAGATATTGAGAAGGGTAAGATAGTTCAGAATGAGCCATAGTAAGCCCTTTCAATTAAAGATGATAACTTCAACCATATCTAAAGCAGCTATACTTAAATAATTAACAATGGACTATATTTTACAAAAAATATTTTTCATGTTTTCACAATTAGGTTTCAGTTTTGCAAAATCTTTTTCTACCTCATATTACTGACATTAGTGTCTATGGCCAATCCTACAAGAAGGACTCATAGTCCTTATGTAATGCGAAATTAGTGTTTAACTATGAGGCATATAGAATGAGCCCTGATTAATGTCTGGTTCAAGTGCCACTTCTTCCATATCTTTCCATTTAGACCAAACTACACCATTATTGCAGCCTCAAATAGGATTAAGACTGGAAACTATGCGTTCATGTGAATTTTTGTCTATTTAGCATCATCAGTGTTTCATCTGATTCAACAATTTATAATCAACTATATGGAACTCATAGATTAATATTTCATGGTTGCAGAATTGCTTAGAGGAATTTCAATAATACAATTACCATTTGGACCTTAGTCATCTTAGTATTAGAAAAGTTGGAGCAATATACACAATTTGGAGAATTTTCGAAATTAACCATTTGACACTTAATTTTGTGATTTATAAATTTTGAATTGTGACAAATGAATAAAAGGGTTAAAGTCATTGAATTGTTATGACAATACTCCTGTGTTTTACATAACTACAGCTGTATTCATACTTTGACACTTAAAAAACTAATTAGAATCTAACCTGCTTCTATATTATAATATGAAATAACAATGTGCTAATAGATACATTTGTGACATATTATAAAATTTGATAGAGGGCATCTTTTCTTGCTGAGAGTGCAATATGGCGACTGAGATACATACTAAAGGAAATGAAAGGAATAATCAATATACCTATAGTCCAGTTTCACAGCAAGGTAGGTCTGCAATTGATAATGGAATAAATGTAGGCGTTAGATCTCAATATTTGCTATTGTATATAGTCTTAATTATCAGAATATATGCAGTTTGTCATATTGTATTTAGTTATGATAATTGTATTGTCTGGAACCATTAGAATAGTCTTTCTGATTATCTAAATTATCTTTTGACCTTATCTAACTTATAACATCTTACAGTAACTCTAATACTTTACATTGTAGCTTTCTATATGGGCCATGGGGCCTTATTTAGGTCATTAGATCAGAAACCAATTTTCTTTATAAGAATGGATGATTAGAACTGAATAGATAAGTGAAGTTTGTGCCAAACCATGATAAAGTACATGTACTGTAAAACATCTTGAATTTGCGTATATTCGCTTGAGTGTAAAATTGCAGATTCAGAATACCAAGAATCTAAAATTGTTCATCACAATTTTTTTTCTTTTGATAATACAGTACATTCATAATAGCCTCAAAGTGGTGAGTTGAAAGCTATAATGAACATTAATTCTGACCACAGCAATCTCGGTCATTGCACTGCATCATGGGAGTTTCGACCTAGAAATATTTCTCCACTTGTTCCCACATAAACAAACCTTAAATATGCAGTAATGTTATACGAAATATAAAGATTCAAATACAAGTATTTTCTCTGATTTTCTCTGAATATGCAAAAAGAAACAAATCTGAGAAAATTGCTCCCAAGAATTCAATGTGATTTACAGTATTATGAAATACCTCACACTAGATATGTGGCAACTGGCAAAAGTGGCAGTATCCTGTTATCCACCTCTTTCAAAAAGAGGGGCTGGGCTGGGTTACTGTACTGTAAAATTGTCTTTAGATCTATAACCTCTCATCAGGGTTAATAGTCTAAAGATACATCTGTATAGATTTAGGAATTTGTTTTCTCTGTAAATGTTCTGGTAATTTTAGACCCAGATTACACAATAGATTACAGTTTGTTGCAGAATGTTCAATCTGAATATATAGCTATCATATCCTTGGTCCAAGTGTATTTCAATTTTTTCCATAGCTTCGTGAGGGC